TGCTGAAATAATGTATTAATCCTTATGTAAGAATTTGTGTTCTGATGGTTTCACTTAATGGCAGAACAATAAATATGAAACAGATAGAAACAACATTGTCTGGACTTTGCACATGCTCCCACTTTCATGTTACATCAGAAAACTTTGCATAAATGCTTTAATACTTTGAAGAGGAGTCAACCTTTCTGTGACTGGGAGCAGTTATCCTCGATCTTTGATCAGTAACTAGAGGCAGAACAGAGCAGATAGCGGGGAAGGTATCAATCTCCAATCTAATCCATCTCCCGACTCATCACTGTCTCATCTAGGTATAATGTCCCTAATATTAAATTTTCAGACCTCAGTTTGTAAAGTTAGATTCCTAAATCTCAAGGCAGGCTCCCAGTTCAAAGTGGTGTAACTCCGCTGACAGGATTTACAGATGTATAAAGGGCATCAAAGTCAGGCATGCAGTTTTTAACACCAAGGTTTAAAGTTTGTCTCTAGCCTTAGCGTACAGCATCCCGGTTGGCTATCAGAAAATGTAAATGGTCGGAACATAGAGATGGAATTAAAAAACAGAATGCATGTTTTATTAGCCATTTAGCCCTAAGCATTACAAAAAAGGAACGAGAGTGCTTTTGGGTGAATAAGCTGCATTTCAGGCTACCTATAAAGATTGTCATGTGCTAAGTAAGCAAGTCAGATGTTTTTCCATATTCAAAGTCCAGCATATATAAATCTTCCTTTACTCATTTATAGCAGTGACTCAGAAAGTAATTGCTGAGGTTGCATTCTTAAATCAGGTAAAAGCAGTCTTTCTAGTTTTCAGATGAACTGTTTGAGACAGTCAGCTGTGTTCCTTAATTCACTTTTAGGGAAGGTTTAAAATGAAACCTCTGGAGGTGGTGGGTTATTCCTGGAAGTGCAAGTGTCTAAGAGGAATTTATTGGACATGATGAACTTGATTCTTCTTCACTCTCACCAGTGTGCAGCAGTGGTAACTCCATTGAAACCAATGGATTTAAGTGAGAGGAGATTTGGACCCAGTATCCTTCTCAATGCAGGTCTTTCATAGATTAATTGATTCATAGATTTTTACGGCCAGAAGAGACCATTAAATCGTGTAGCCTGACCTCCTGCATAACCCAGTTAGTAGAATTTCATCTGACGACTGCTGTATTGATCCCCTTCTTGAGAGGAAGTGCAGTTTGCAAAGTGATCAGAAGAGTAATTGCATCTCCATGTTTGAAGGTGCAGGTTGCCAGGGTCAAAGAAGAAATGTTGTTTGCTCCCACACAGACAGCATTCTTCAGGTGGCTACTGCACTGCGAGGTATATTTAAAGGGGTATTTTCTTTCTTCAGTGGGGACAGATCCCTGACATAACAGATTAATTAATTATATGATTTCTATACTGCAATTTCTGTCTTCCTCAAATTCTGATTGGGGATTTGAATAGGTTCTTTAAAACGTAACAGTGGCAATGTGGTCTGTTGGAAAGAGCTGGTGACTGGGAGTCAAGACTTTAAAAAGTGCTTAAACTTAAAGATGCTTTTCCTGACTTGCTGTGGATTGTTGAACTTGTCACATACAGTTGGTTTCCCTGGGCCAGATTCTCCCCTCCTTGTATGGATGCTATGCAGAATCTGAGCAATGAGTGTCACCTTGTCATGGTGGTCCCTTCCTATGAACTTTAAGTAGAGTTTGTAAAGTGCATTGTTAGTGGTGGGGTGATATGGGTGGGGAGTGGAAGCAACCAGCACTGTTAGTCCCAGCTGAATGGATGAAAGCACTTGCCATGTGTAGGTCAT